GCAGGCTTTGTGAGACAAATTTATTTTAGTTTAGAAGCCTTAACACAAACTGAATGGCGTTATTCACTTCCTCTGCTGTCATTGCTAAACTACAGGCAGACTAAAATGGCGCGGAAAATCGACATCTTTGTTCACAACTTCTCCTTCTGTTCGCTGATTGGCCCGGTTCAAACTCTACCGGAGAAATCCTTGCCCGTGGGGGACATCCCAGACGGAGCAGAGTAAGGGAAACTAGAATTGAACTGAACTGGGAAGGCAAGGGCCAGGATAGACAGACAGACGGACGGAGAAAATCAAACACTTAGCTTCAAATTTATTTTCCATTTCAGAGACAGCCTGTAAGGAAATGCTAAGTTTATCCCCTGCTTTTTATGGAATTTACTCATTTCTGAAGGTCAGTATTCAAGTAAATGTCTGAAGGAGTCGATACGTATGTTTTCAACAACAACCCTGTGGTCCTATAGTTCTAGTCTAAGGCCCCTGTTTACAAAGCAGGATGTAAATTGGGCATTCTCATGCACATAAGCAAATATCCAGTGGCTCACAAAGGAAATGAGGCACATGAATCATGGGAAAACACACAGCTTATTCACATTCATTGCAGAAGTACCCCAGGGGTGCTCCTCCTGCACATTTGTCTGCTCGGTGTCAGGGCCGCAGGCTTCCCCACGCTCAGCATAACCTCCGGTCCAAACAAAAAGCCCCGGCAATAAAACCAATGAACCAGCACACTGGACAAGGCCAAAGATAAGGCACTGCTGACAACACTTCCTAATGATTTGCAAACCGGCTTCCAAAAAATGCATAAAAACACTTGAGTTTAAAAAAATAAATGTTTCAAAGGGTTGAAATGTAACGCCAATACAAAAGCACTATGGACATTTTACTCACTGAAGCAGCTGCAATGTCAGACCGGCACTACCACAAAACACTTTTTTTTCCCCCCATCCACAAAATGACGGCGCACAAAAGCGCACACCAAAGGGTGAAAATGTACTCATTTGGGGAAAATTCTGTTCAACATCAAGCAGCGCTTTCCTCAACACTGCATGATGTAGCACCTGTGCTCCATCATATCCTAGCACCTGAAATAAGTTGCACACAGCATATATGGTAATGCATACTTTCTTGCCATTATGCAAAGTGTTAAAGGGCAGTATTTGATCTTAAAAAGCATTAGCTGGGGGGATTTAAAGCCAAAAGCTGAACCAGAACTAGCCTCAGGTGCTCACGCTAATTAACAAGTCACTCTCAGCAATTAATTTAAATGCATCTTTATGGCAGACATGTAAACTTATATTTCCTGGTGCTGAGAGAGAAAATGTCAAGCCAATAAACACCTTAATAAAACAAATGAGCATTCCAACGCAGCAATCAATGGCTGCACTTTCCCAACATGTACACTGCCTTGTATAATTAAGGGCAACAAGCTCTCCCTGTATACAGTACCATCTTAGACGCACAGATTTGCAGTGAAGCATGCCATATAAGCACTTTGTGTTCTGCTACATCTTACTCAGTGGTTTTTTTATGGTAACAAGACAAGATACTTTTTGTGTTCTTAATAAAATGTTCTTGCAAAAAGTGCAGATAACCTTGTAAGAAAAAATATTATACAATTAAATAAGCACTCCTGGTTTTAGAAAAAATGATTCAACATTGTGAAGATATTGTACAAGAAAATAAGAAATCCTTCTGGGTAGATTAGTCTCTAAGTAGGCTCCTGTTGACGGTCTAAAATACAACTCTTGGAGCTTTGTGTGCTCATGCCTCTTCACAATAATGATTTCTTATTATTCTAAAATAAATAAATAAATAAATAAATAAATAAATAAACAGGCAGGTTTTAGGTAGGGTAAATCCATGAAGCAGTTTCTACTACATTCAATGTCAGGCTTTAACGAGAACAGGGATATAGGAAAAAATTGAGAGAAATTTGACAGTCTGCCACTTGTTGCATTTAGTACCATCGATATTGATTAAAACAGTGTACATGAAAGGGTCCTCTCTGAAATTAATATATCTTGATGCACTCAGTGGCCTATGTGTTAGACATTATCATCTTCTACTTCTGGGGTGGATAAACTAAACTTAAATGATGAAACAGTACACATAACATTGCTAACATTAATTGCATATGCTCAAATGCATGTATTACAGTAGAACTCAAGTTAAATATGAATACAAAACATTTGAAGCAAACAAAAAATAAATACTTACTTTAGTTGAGTGGTCATGCAGCAGCATAAGACTCCTGCTTGGTTGTGGTCCTGGTAAATGTCTCCTATTTAGCTTTGTGCAACAGATTATGATGGTGACTTGTATTAAAATTATTCATGGCAGACAGCATCCCAAAGCAGACTAAACTCATTGGTTTGCCTTGAAATTATGTGTACAGATAGTGTACCTCATGGGAGTAATTTGTGGGGGGATAAGGGAGGTTACGACCCTCACAATAGTTTGATCCAGACAACCCCCCCCCCCCCCCCAATGGTGGACATAAAGTTACACCCTTGGTCTGTGTCTACCTCCAATTATAGGTATGAAACATGCAATTTTCTCTAATTCTCTGTCCTCCACTCTTAGTCATTGCTAACTCTCTCTTCCTCACTTGTAGAGAAGATGTGGGCTTAAGGTGTCGTCTGCGTTAGAGGTGCCATCTAGGGACAAACTGTGTCGTTGCAACCAATTCAGTTCTGACAATGACAATTTTTGTAATTTTCAAAAAATATTCTAAAAGCTGCATTGTGTGTTTTTTAAAAAAACGTTTTTAAATTAAAAATATAAAGACTGTTGTTTTAAGAGAGGGCCTCATTGGTGGGCCAGATGTGGCATGCAGGTCACCCAAAGATTTAGCTCAGTACTTCTTTTATTTTGAGTTCAAACCATTTTTGTGTTGTGAATTTGTCCATCTTGAATAAAACATTTAACTTTAATTTAGTAGAACTCTAAGCTTGTTTGGGGGATTACTATCAGATACTACCATACCAATCTTTACCTGTTTCTCTAAAATTAACTGATACTGCCATTTCTAGATTTCCAGTCTTGCTTCATTTGTCTTACCTTTGAAGTGCAGAATAATTAGATGTTTAAAGTTCTTGGCGGATGACCCGGTTGCACTTAAATGGACACTAAAAATCAATCAGTCCAGTCAGAACAGCCACCTCATGCTAATTAATCCAAATGTATTTTAAGTCAAATGGGAGGCTGTTTAAACCCGTTAACGATCTGTTTGTTTCTCCCTCTGCAAGTTTTTTTTTCACCCAATGTTTGTAAGATGACGTGAAGCGACATGATGCCTCCAACCTCCTGACAGCCTCCAACTCCTCCTCGTTAGTCAGCAAACAAATCAGCTTAATTGGCAGTGCTTTTCTGACATTGTCACAAGCAATCAGCAATTACATTATTGTTGCTTTTAATATGTTTCATCACAGTGTCACACGCCTGCAGGTATAAATTCAACTTTTCCAGTCTTCTCCTCTTAGAAGATGAAAGGCTTGAGTTTTACATCTGAATAGCACTCAACTTCCTGTATTTGTGCTGTTGTGTTTCAAAAAAGAAGGAAAACTCAAGTTGGAGAAGGTTTATAATGTTATACGTACTCCAACACATCATATTTGGAAATTCAGAGTGGGGATTTTTGTTTAATTAATCACAACAGGTCTCCTCTGGGTCCAATGCTCAAATAACAGAACTTAAGGATTATGTGTTTGATTCTTAAAAACTGAAATTAAAACTAATAAAATGCAACTAATTCATATTATATGCAGGTGTTTGTCTAATACCAACAGATTCTGATGATTTTGGAGTACAACTTCTCAAAAGAACCAAAGTAAAAAAAAAAAAATAGTGTGGCCTCCAGGACTGGGTCGGCTTTTTTATTTCTCTTGAAGAGGGACTGTTTCAGAGAGCCTGATATTCTGAGGCTTTAGTTTTACAACTGTAGCTCAGGAGGGGAGACAACTAGAAGGTCAACGGGTTGATCCCTGTCTGTTAGGAAATTGTGTGTTTTGGTAAACAAAGGGAAGGCAGCACTTTATTCAGGATTGCTTTGAACTTTATTTCACAGGGTGCTGGTGGGGGGCGCTAAAGTCCCTAATTATCCATCACATCTTTCTGGTCAAGTTTAAAATACAACACAAAAAGAGACAGGTAATTAGACACATTTTCTAATTAATTTTACCAATAATTAGCCTCTCACTGGGCTGCCACCTTATCGTGGGTGAGAGAATTATGTTGTCGGGGGCTTCATGTCCCCAGTAGGGTCATCCAAGGCAAACAGGTCCTAGATGAGGGATCAGACAAAGTACAGCCCTAAGACCCCTATGAGTACTACAGATGGACATAGTGTTCCCTCGCCTGGACACGGGTCACATGGGCCCCACTCTGGAGCCAGGTCTGGAGGTGGGGCGCGTTGGCGAGCGCCTGGTGGCCGGGTTTTCGTACATGGAGCCCAGTTGGGCACAGCCCGAAGAGGAGACGTGGGTCCCCCTTCCCATGGGCTCACCACCTGTGGGAGGGGGTGTAGGGGTTGGATGCAATGTGTGTTGGGCAGTGGTCAAAGGCGGGGGACCTTGACCCCCGCTTCGCGTGCAGGGTTCATATTAGTGGTACCTTAAATATACAACCACAATTCCAAAGATGTTGGGACACTGTAAAAAAAAACAATACGATTTACAAATCCTTTTCAACCTATAGTCAATTAAATACACTATAAAGACATTGTATTTAATGTTTAAACAGATCCTTTTTTCTTCCAAAATATTCACTTATTTTGAATTTGATGCCTGCAGCACATTACCAAAGAACTGATAGGGCCATGTTTACCACTGTGTTCCATCAACTTCCCTTTTAAACAACCCTCAACCATCTGGGAACCAATTGTTGAAGCTTTGTAGGTGGAACTCATTCCCATTCTTGCTTTTAGTTTTTGAGGATTCCTCAACTTTCCCAGTCTTTTAAGAGGGAATATTTGCAAATAAAACAAAGCTCACATTAAATATCGTCTGTGGTGTATTTATTAGAATTGAGGATGTTCATACACCCACACAGACATGAGCAAAAACATTGCCACTGATAAGACATCAGCTCCTTTGGCTAAGGAGTGATCATGTGAGCTCAGACCATCTGTTCTTTATTACAGTCTGAGGCACTGGGTTAAAAGAGAGTCAAAGTTTAACTTGACCCCATGATGTAACAGAGCTGTTATAGAACAGAACACCCAAGAAGCCATTGAGAAGCAAAAAATAATAATAAAAAAATACAAAAAAAAATAAAAAAGCACAGACATACACACTGAAGGAGCTAAATCAATACCTCCAAATTTGGCTCACACCAAAGTAAAAAGAAAAGAACCGGGAGGTTTTAAGACAGGTTTAATCTATTTCAGCACGCTGCGTGTGGCAGATACAGCGCACAACAGACAAAAAACCTTATCACAAGAACACTGGGAAGGTGCAGCTTTGCTGGTGTTCTGCATTAACACAAAAAAGTCAAGGGGTTGCACATCTGAGCAAAACTTGAGGAGAAACAGGATGTTTGTGTCATTCTGAACAAACATGAACACGTGTAAACTAGTCACATTAATCAGATAAACAACAAAACCTGCTTACTTTATTTCTTTTATTTTTACAACTGTCACAAACAAAAGAACAAGACATCTACTCTAATAGATTATACATTTTCCATTAGGTCTGCATTGAATGCTTACAAGTATGTCAAGAGTAGGCACCAAAAAAAGAAAAAAAAAAAGAAAAAAGAAAAAAGTGGGAGCATAATGGTTCTTATCAGGGATGTGCAGGTCCAGCCCAAGCATTTTAAAAAAGCGTCAGAGGGTGAAAAAGAGTGTTGGTCTTCTGCTTAAAGGCAACCACCCACTACCCCCACAAGACCACAAGTATATGCAACCAAAAATCGGCAAACTTAAAGCACACACACAGTGATGATTACTTTTCTGGCTTACTGACCCACTCTCTGCTCTGCTTCCTCAAACGAACAAAAAAGAAAAAAAAGGAGGACAAAGCAAAAAAAAAAAACATTTGTTCTCTAAAGGAAAAAACAAAACAAAAAAACACCACAATACATCATTTCACAAAGAGAAGAGTTAAGGCGCTCCGACTAGATTCATTTGGGAAAATAAAATATAAACTAAACACAAAAATGCTTCGGGAAAGTTTAATAACTGCTCCTGTACAAAAACCAAAGAAAAATCCACAACTTTACATAGGTTTACTTTCCAGCCATGTTCCGTATGTTCACTATCAGCCTCTTGCTGTACTCCACGTGATCGACAGGTATCACAGTCATCACTGTGACCTTAATCCTCGATTCATCCTGTTAAACAAACGAGAATCCATTTTTATAAGAATCTGTTTTCATTCAGCGCAACTAAAAATGTCACAAGACACATTTCCTTGTTGAACAATGCGGTACATCTCTTCACACGCACCTGCAAGTCGGTAAAGAGCACTCAGGTTGTCATGTTAACCATATGCTAACAGATTTTCTACAAAATACAAACTGAACAAATGAAATCCATCTGACTTTATTGCTCAATAATATAAAATGTTCATTTGGAATTTATTAGCAAAGAGGAACGAGCATTTCCCGTTTTCCCTACGAGACATTTGGATGAGGTATGTGTGGTGTGATGGCATTTAGCTTCCACAGCTGTCTAGACACATGGAGGTTATTTCTCCCAGGGCCATTTATCCCTGCATTTAAACAGAGGTTACACTCAATTTTTCTCCATTAAATCTTCGCTGCTGAAGTGGCTGAAATGCAACTCATCTTTCTTGGACCGGTGCCTCCTCTCTAAGATGTGCCATGCACCTTGTTTGTTTAGTATGAGCAGAAATAGAAACGTTTTATGCAAAAATGAAAAGCAGTTTGATTTTTTTTCCACCTTTAGATAAGATGTGAACCACTTATTGCCTTTGTGTACTCCATTTGAAGATAGAAAGGCATCTAAATGATACCTTGTGAAGAAAATATTTTTCTTTGACCTACATAAGGGAAATACAACACTCGTTAAAGAAGTGACTGCCACAGCTGATAACTTGTAGTTGTGAGAAGGAGAAAATTAACTCAAAAGAAGGACTGCAGGTGTCTCTGTTGAAGTAATATGGGGTCTAGATGCAGGGGCCAGTACATGCTTGTAAGCAGCGCCACAGGCAGTTAGGATGCTGAGCTGACTGTGACAGAGACAGTGGCCTCTTCTGTGTGTGGAAGGCGGATGCTGCCTCTGGCTTGACTCCAAACTTCCTGCTCAGAGTCCCAACCCAATCAATTCTTTTATGTTTCGCTCAAAACAAACCTCCATTTGTGTGGCCTACAGGAAAGAGTGACCGCTGCTAAGCTGTGTGTGCATCCTTCACAAAGCAACTAAAAACCAGCAGCGTGTTGAGATAAACACCGTTTTGATGGTGGAAAAAAAAGTCAGATAGTTAAGAGAATGAAAAGAAAAAAGAAATGTGTTCTTACCGGTGAGTATTTTCACCTCATTTTAAAGAAATTAAAAATAAAATAAAAAAGGAAGGTCAAATGATTAGCTATTTCCCCCCACCTTCTGTCTATAATTTACCAAGTGAACATATGCAGTCATTCATCTGTGCATGTTTGTATGGAGGACTGAAATTGACATAATTAAAATTAAAAGAAATGTATAACATGTCCCAATAAATAAAAAAATGCACTTAAAATGCAACAATAAAAAAAACTTTACCTCATGTTTTATAACTTAATTGATCTTCATATTTATTTTTCCAGCTTAGTTCCAATAAATTATATATTTTAGCACATAATTTAAATTTTAGGATTCATGTTAAAATCAATTGTGCCTGTGCTCCCTCGGTTTAGCAACTAATGCTGGGAACAGAAGTTAATTTAATGCAGTGTCAGAATCAGTTCATTAAAATTACTTCTCTTTATTTCTATGTGTTGTTTTTACATTTTTCTGTTCTGCATGCACATTCAATATGCACAGGGATCATGCTCCTTCCTGTCTGATGACCAATAGAGGGGCTGACCCAAGAAGGGCAGCCCACCTTATGTGCATGAGGCAGAAAGAGATATAATCCTAAAAAGGAATAGAGATATATAAAAGAGACAAATGCATTTACAAGTAAAATGTAAAACAATATATATTTTTAAAACAGTAAAATGTTAATTATGTTTTAAAATATATAATTTGTTGAAACTAAGCTATAAATAAATGTAAAAGGTCAATTAAATTATAAAACATGAGGTAAAATTTTCCTTTTTAAAATTAACTGAGGCAAGTTTATTTATTTATTCATTCATTCATTCATTTATTTATTTCTGCTTTTAATTTTTAATTATGCCAGTTTTGGTCCTCCATATGTTTGAATATGAACTAAAATAATTGCCACTCTGATTATACTTACATTATACGTTTCCAGCTTCACTCTGTTTTGGAAGACGTAACTTTTGAAGTTTGCACGCTGGAAGATTTCATCAAACGCAGCTTCATTCTGAAATATAGATGAATAAAATAACATTTCTCAATCAAATGCAGCACCTCATTTATGCAGAATGACACGTCTGCTTGGAAAATAAATTCAAAGAAAACTGCTCTAAAAATATAAAACAAAAAAGCACTTCTTTTTTTTTATTGTTTAGAAGTTTATTGACAGAAATAATCAGTTCGGTGAAGCAGTTTTGATATTCTGAAAGGACAGTCTCACCGAGTCCTTGAGCTGCCCCAGGTAAGCTGCATTCTGGCCCAGAATGGTCTCTGCGCTCTCCTGGAAGCAAGTCACCCACTGGTTGTCCATATAATCCGCCATGTTGGCCTGATAAATGCACAGGGGCAAAACAAGTGGCAACGGTAAATGGAAATAACATGCAACTGTTTTGTGACGGTTTGTTGGCTTTACTTTTGAATTTTTGAAGTGTGATGTTTTTTTGATAAAGCAGTAAAAGGGACAATCTAAATCCTGCTGGTAAGTCTGGCAAAACACAGAGCATTGCTGTTGGTTTACACGTACGCACAGACGGTGTGGAAGCAGATTCACAACTTATTCTTTAGCTTGTGAAAAACAATATGTCAACTGGGGAGAGGAACAAAACAAAAGCTACTTATTTCAGACGCCTGGTTTTTATAGTTTTCTTACTGACTGACTTTATTCATTCTTTTTTAAGAGAATGGTTGTTTTGTATAAAAGCCGAGAAAAATGACTGTTGATGTGTGCACGCTCTGTGAAATAATGGCACTGTAATGAATTGTGCAATATTTAACCCAAAAAAAAAAAAAAAAAGCCTACAGACAATCTAAAATGTGAGTTTCATTATGTCTCTGACATGGCTTTCACATTTCTAAAAATAATTGCAGAAAGCAGTTTGAGGCTAAGTTGTAAAACAAACAGCGGGCCATATGGGGGGGAAGAGGGGATTTGGCTTGAAGGAGAACATTCCCTACAACACAACACAAGCACTATGTCTCAGCACAAACCTAGTTTGAAGCACAGAAACAGGCATTTAAAATGTGTGCTTTTGTGTCAGTACAGGTGTAGAACAGGTGAAAAGAGCTGTAGGAAAATCGCTGCTGAGTCTCTTACAGATAGGATGAGGCGGTATTTGAAGTTGGGAAACTCTTTATCACACTTCTCACAGCGGAACATGCCATTTTGCAGGTCAATCACTTTTTTGTTGCATTCTTGGCTTGGACAGGCCTGATAAAGGCAATTCTCCTTCCGGATATATACTATTGTGGCTACGCAGCTGAAGTAGTCAGCCTAAAAAAGAAAAAAAAAAAAAGAAAGAAGCAAACCATTATCTATATGAACAAAATTTCAAATTACATGCACTTTTACAAGATACACTCTTCATGTCCTCATGACCCTTATGCTATCTGGTAAACATGTTGACAAAACTGTATGTTTATCACATTAATGGCATTTTCAGGAGTACTAAAAGAGCCGTGCACAGCCAGTAAGAAACACTTTAACAACTGGTATAAGTGCCAACTAGGATTTGCTGACAAAGATGGAAACTAGCAAAAGAGCTGTTGCATTTGTAGGGAGGAAGCAAACTTTACAAATCTATTGTGCGTCAACAGCCTTTAGGAAATGAAAACAAAAACAAGTGACATGGGTTGGACAGAAGCTGATGAATATAAAAAAAACATTTGGCTGTGCTGAAACTTGAAGAGGAAATGCCTGAACATGAGCAAATAGGTCACGCAACCTGTCTGTTGTGCAGCTGCACCCCAACATCTGGCTGATAGTGTCCCACCTTTTGCAAATCCCTGGAGAAATTCCCCAACAGAGGAAATCTGGGCCACGGCACGCTTTGATGAAGGATAACAATGCTCACTCAAGCTCATGTTAGTGTTTTGTGTCATGAAATGTTCATAGTAATGAGTTTTTTTTATAAATGGGGGGGGGGGGAGTAGTGATCCTCACATCTTCAGATAGATAAGTGAAATAAAGTAGACTTTATTTAGAATCCAGACCAAAGATTTTCTTTGCCATTTTGATTTAACAAAGGCGACAGGGGTGGTCAATGGCAAACTAAAAAATATATTTGTATATAGCAATCCTTTTTAACTTCACAGCTGCCGCCTAAGCTGATTGTTTTGACTTACAGAAAAAAAAACGTCCTGCCCAATCTAAACGCCAACGTTCATTATCTTTCATGAGGTCTAGCTAATAAATGTCTCCTATTAGTGTGAAATTGATCAGTGCTAAGAGGGAAGCCAAAAAATAAAAACTTGCTTCTTTTCATGCCTTTGTGACAAGATCTTACAAGCTCAGTGTCAGGCCTACAAGAGGAAGGTGTCCACTTATTCTCACAAAGGGCACACATCAGTGTGATGGCACAAAGACTGTGACATAAACAATTAATTGTAACAAGCTTTAGTTGGCAGAGGTTTTAAGAGGCTTGACCTGCCTGCCCCTGTTTATGATTTGTTAAATTTGAAGCCTGCCTCTTTCATGCATCGGTTTTCATCATGTCATCCTGAGGAAGAACATAGTGCCTGAATATGATGATAAAAATGTACAGATTTCACTTAAATTGGACCAACAATCAGGATTTGAGCAAGGGGACTTAAGAGGGGAACAGAAGTACTTGAGCTGCACTGTTAGCCTTCTATAGTACACTGAAAGAAACAAACAAAAAAGTATTGCCTATGAGAAAACCTTCACCTCAAAGCATACAAGAGAATAATTAGGACATTAGAAAAATGGCAGGGTTACTTGCAGCTCTAGGCAGAAAGAAAAAGTCCTCTGAATACAAAACTTGATGCTACTCCTTTATAAAAACGTGTTTTTCAAACTAATACTAAATAATAACCTTTGCTCCTGTTTAATGCATTTACTTGCACTACATGAACTACAGTACTGAGTCACACATGACCATCTTGGAAGCATTTCTACAAGATTTCGGAGTTTTTTTTCTGTGGGGATTTGTGCCCATTCGTTCTGTACCAAAACCATGTCTTTAAATGTCTTAATTTGTGTACTTGGGCACACGAGTGTGTATTTTTGTGGCAACACTCAGAGTCTTCCACAAAGTTGAAAGTATAGCATTGACCAAAATATATTGGTATGCTGAAGCATCCATCACTAGAACTAAAATGGCTAAACCCAAACTGAATAAAACACCCAAAATCAATAATTAAAAGGTGTGCACTTTTTATGTCAATTTAGTGCATTTGGGTTTGTTTGTTTGTTGTCGTCAACAAGACATAATGTATTCAGAACTACCACCAAACAACACACCTCTAGTGTCTCTCTGTCTTTTATACCAGTTTCAAAAGGTTTTCATGTATCCATTCACAATTATTTCTATCTGGTAATTTTCTAAGTTTAAATAAAATAGTTTTAATATACCACTTGTGCATACAAGAAAGAAAAAGAAGGTTGAAGAAAACATATTACTTGACTCATCTCAGGACAGTCATTTCATTACAGGGTGCAGGAAACAGACCCTATGCATTCTTCATAATCAATACCAAAGATAAATGTGACTTTCACTACGAATATCCAACAAGACTATGAGAACACCAAGGATGCACTGGAAATAATGAGCATGGGGAGATAAATGTTACTTGGATTATAGGACATAACCAGTGGTGCAGTAAAATTATGTGTTATTGATTATAAAAAGTCATCACACCAAGAGTACACTAAATTGCTTTTAAATAGAAAGGATAGTAAACATATACTGTTAAACATACTATGATAATCTGTAATGTGTTTGGGTTTACAAAAACCTTAACCTGCTTGAATGTGAGCCCTCTCATATTTATCATTTGGAATTCATTAAGGATCTTTCAGCTTGTCCTTGAACATCTTCAGAGTCATTCCTGAATAACAATATAACTAGTGTTACCGTGCTGCTAAAATTCAACCGTGTCCATGCAAAGCTGTGCATGTGCGTACCTTTTCTCCATGTCCCAGATGCTCGGTCTTAACGTCAGACAAAGTCTTCCAGGTGAACTGCATGCTCATGCCGCCACCTCTCTCTGTCAGAGAATGCCCAACAATAGTGTGGCCATCCTTGTCATACCTACAGAAGGAGAGCACAAGTGGGTGAAGATTTGACCCCAATTAAAGTAAAGCATGTATATTCTTCAAGCTGAAAAATCAAAAGTATGTATCATGTTGATGTTTAACTAAAGCAAGGCATTTAGCTTAAAACAAGGTATTCAGACCAGGCAAAAAACACAAAAAGCTATTAAAATACGCCCAATTTTCTTCATGAAAAACTTTTTTCTCCCATCAACAAATCCAATGGAAAAACTTGCCACATTAGCATCCAATGACCATCAACCAATGGATAGCATGTAAAATGTAAAAATAGATACATTTATTAAGTGGATATTTTCTAAAGATCTATGTGTAGGATGTTATACCATTATCTAGAAATAAAAATAAATAAATAAAAAACAAAAAATTGGTACTAACTGAACCACATTTTTTCCATTTTCATAAAAAGTGTGAGCTAAGATGGCAGTGTTTAGTATAAATAACTTGTTTTAAGGAAACAATAACGCAATTATTAATTTTGTATAACTACACCAAAATAATGTATCAATAATATGAACTTTTATCACTTTATGGACTTAATAACTTTAGTTCAACTTGAGTTTTGATATAATCTTTTAAAAAACAGAACAGAATAATCCATTTTAACTATCTGAACCAGAGCATGAGGCACAACAGTCTGTTTGCATAGACTGCTGGCTGTCCACAAAAGGAAAACAAACAAAATAACACTTATTCCAAGTAGAGAATCTGTTTGTGTTTGTCAAAGCAGAAATGGCTCATCAGAGAGCAAGAAAGTCTGAGACTTAAAATGAATCATCTGTAGAGGGACAGATGAGCTGGTCTATGTCAGGGCTGTTATGGAGATAGAAGAACCCCATTTTAATGAAATATTCTCAATAACTTGTAAAAGGCAAGAGAGGAAAAAAGGCAGGATAAAAACAAAAATGGGTGGACGCAATGCAGTGTTTTTGTAGAAAAAAATAAAGAAATCAGTTTAAAATGGTCAGAGATCAGCAGAGCTTACTAATCTGCCACAAGGCGGAGTGCCAAGCAAAGGGAAGGTTGGGTTGTAAATATGGGGAAAGCGTGACTTACTCCTGGAGGCATGACTAATTGAAAAGATCCCACATGAACAATTCTGACTGTGGCCTGCACAACACACAACGCTGACGATTTCCTACTCTTGACAAATGTGAGCAATTCTTTCTGGAAGCACCAATTTCCTCAGCTGCGTACCTGCAAAGACTGGCTTTAATTAAACCTGCACCCACTAAAGAGCTGTGACAAAGACTTGATAAAAAGGCAATGCTAATTTCTGCAATCACTTGAGATGTCAGAAGATGGATGCTATACAGAGAAAAAATCATGTAGTGACGCAGCAGCATTCATTAAAAATGCATCACAATTTAACATGGCTGCTCTGGATACCTGATTTCACATATGGTCTCAAAAAAAAAACTACCAAAATACTCAACTACATGTCATTATGACAGCATCAGGGGTGAAAATGAAGTTGGTTTTAAAAATCATACAAACAAGGGGCACAGATACAACTAATTGTGTGGAGAAGTTAATTATAGAGAAGAGACAAAGGAAGATTGATCACAGTTCACAGGAAATGTAGAACCGTCAATTTAAAGCTGTTGGACTTTACCTTAAAACAAAAGGTTTTTAGAAGAAACCATCTGCAGACAGACAGGCACTCGTACACACCACAAACATGTCAAATGTCAGTGTGTCAATGAACAGAGACAGTACAGGAGCTGAGATGTGTCTGAGGAAGAGCCATGAAGGGGTGGGGGGGGGGGGACTCACACTAAGCAGTGTTCTCAGCTCCAGGATAAGAATCACATGCCTAAGCCAAGAGTGGCAAACACACAACAAACATGCTCCATCTTGTGTGTGACATTGTTAGTCCTTCATCTGTAGGAAAGAACGTGATGTCAAATATGAAACTTACTGTGACAAGCCACAGTGTTTAAAGATGTAAACAAGAACAAATGTACACTAATCAGCCACCACCACTGGTTTTCTTTATGCAACCAAAGTTGTACTTTGTACTTAATAGTATTGTAGTACTTGAGACCGGTCTTGGTCTTAAGACCGGTGTCAAGACCACTTTTTGATGGTCTCGGACTCGACAGCATTTGGACTTGGTCTTTTTTCGGTTTTGGACATTGAGGACTCAGAATTTTATTTCAAGAACACAACTGTGGAAATATCACTAAATAGCCAGATTATTGTCCAATTTATTAATTAACATTCTTACTTTCATTGGATCTGACCATATAACATTCTCCCAGTACTCTTCTGGAACATCCAAATGCTCTCTAGTAAACTTCAGATGGGTTTCAGCAGGGGGACACGTCAGGCACTGCAGAATCTGAGTCCCTGGCAGCATAGTGACGGTAGCCTTTGTTACTTTGGTCCCAGCTTTCTGCAGGTCATTCACTATCCCCCTGTGTGGTTCTGGGATTTTTGTTCACCGTTCTTGTGATCATTTTGACCCCACAAGGTGAGATCTTGTGTGGAGCCCCTGATCGAGGGACATTATTCAAAATTCAAAAATACTTTATTGATCCCAGAGGGAAATTAAGTAAAAAAAATATCAGCGGACTTGTAGATTTTCTAATTTTTCTGATTATTGCTCCCCTAGTTGATTTCTTCACACCAACTTTTTTCCCCACTGTACATGTGTACAGAATACTCCATCTTTTAGGACACTAGTTTTTTTTTTTTTTTTTCTTTTCTGGTCTTGTCTCGTCTCGCCCTCGACTTGGTCCACACCCTAAAAGTCTTGGTCTTGTCTCGGTCTCGAGACACTGCGGTCTTGGTCTTGACTTGGTCTTGGGTTAGGTGGTCTTCACTACAACACTAGTACTTAAGGCACTGACACAGAAAACCTCTGAATATAGACAGCAGGACATTAAGCATCTCAATCATCAAAGCTTAAATATTGAATTTAATAACTGCAATCTTAAAGAGACTAACAGAAACATTACCAAATCATGCACAAAGGCCACCCATAAGGTCTTCAATCCTATTTTGTATTTGAGGAATGACATTTTAGAACATGCAAATTGCCATTTTACATTTTCATTTAAGTTTCTATAGTAAGTTTGAAAGCTTCATTTCACCATTATTTGTAAACAGTAATAAGAAGGTCAAAACCTTATTTTTTTTAAATCCTGACTATATGGCTCTCTGCCACAATTCACAGCTCAGTGTCAACTACCAACAAAAAAGAAAGTCTGTTAAAAAAATGATGAACCTAGTATTATAAAATGAAATAATGGTGAAATATCTGAGGTTGACTGCATTAAGGACTAAGAATAACCCTCCAAAACAATGAGGAAACAAAAGGAGTAATTGCTCAGTCTGACGGTTTAGAGAAAAGCAGCGTGACTAAATGTGCTGTTGCCACCTAATGGACAACTGCATCCCTACAGCTTGATCAAAGTAAAGTTTTTATGTTGTTTCAAGCTTTTGAAAAATAATTTCCAAAAGATGCAGCAAAACACAAGATTGAGCTACGGTCAAGATTATTAGTGCCTGGCGAAGCATCCTTATAAAAACATTAAAGCCAAATTTTTTCCCTGTAAGATTAATTAGTGATTTGTTAAAGGGCTACTCCTTAGCTTTTCAAATGAGCATGCTTGCAAGTGCTGAGCAACACCCCTAATGCCTCTGCATGAGTTTAAGACAACAGCCCACAAAGGATGAACTATTCATTTGAAGGAGTCCCAAAGGTCTGCACCAAAAACAGTCAAATTAAAATGCCTCTGCAGCAATAAAGCAACGTTGTTTCAGCAGCCTTGGCTGTACAGTTAAGGGAGAAAGGCTTTAGGCTCTTGTGAGCAGAATTCAAAAAACACATCTTAAAACTTATATAAAGTTTAACAGATTTTTATATTTTGGTTCTCATAATTCCAATCTTATGAAACAAGAAATAATTGAGACCAAGGGTGATGACCAACATACACCACAGCTAGCAGTTATTAAGCACACTAACAAATGACTATATTAATAATGATCTCTAAGGGTGTATTCACACCAGGAAAGTCCTTCGGTTCTTTGGACTTGTTTGGTCCGGACCAAAAGTGGACTTTATTTTTTTTCGTTTGGTGCAGTTTGCATTCACATTGTGCTTTTTTGCAAACGAACTATAACTTGTAAACAAAGCCACGAGGGTGACGATCATTGCTCCCACTGGACAGAAAGGATGGGGGCGGGAGAGAGAGCACAGACCCAGAAAAAAACAAGGAAGTCCTGCATGCTGTGGTTCTGATGTGCACATTTTTGCTGATAGTACAACTGCAATAGCATTTAAAATGTCAGAAGCAGCAAATTTAATGGTGGATTCGTGATGATATTCTAATTTTGGAGCGACATCAGTAAATGTGTCCCACAACCCAAAGGAGACGAGGTGCTCTGCGTGTTCTGACCCAAAACATGCTGCCAGCAGAGCTGCTAACAGGAGACGACAAAACAGGTATGATTTCAGGTTTTTTAGCTCAGCAACGGTGGCCCGTAAAGTCCAAAAAGGCGCATGTTTTATGCAGTTGGTTCGGTCCGGTCTGTATTCACACCAGAAGCAAACTGAAGCGAATCACACCAGAGTTCATTTGGAAACTAACCGAGACCACCTCAAAAAGCAGGTCTCAGTCTGGTTGTTTGATCCGCACAAGAGTTCACATGAGCGTATTCACACCTGCACAAAAAGTCTGGACCAACGCTGGAAACGAACTCTGATTCGTTTAAAGCGGACCAAATTGTCAGGTCTGAATACAACCCAAGAAAGCATCAAAAAAGGAGCAACCGGCTAATAAAAATGGCATTCTCTCTTCAGCTTGTCCACAACTGTACAACAGCTCTCAAACACAATAATGATCTCGTCTTGGCTCCAGGTCTCACACAGATCGACTTGGATTGAGTGTAATGAGTCAGGTCTTGTCTCCTTCCATCTGTGACTTTTAAACAGTTCATTAGTGCATGTTTAAAAACCTGCAGGAATCCACTACTTAGAGAAGACCCTCACTGACCAAGCCTTTGTCTGCCGAGGAAACCAACAAAAGGATGCCAGGTTCATTAACTTTCACTGTTTAAATGTGGACAAATGTCATTAAAAAGAGAATGTCTACAAAAATCCATGCTTGAAGTAGTTAAAGGAACACAAGTAAACAACAGCACAGGATCCTAGAGTGATCTTAATTAAGTAATTTTTATCCCAATGAAACAGTAAAATACTCCCAAAACAAAGACTTAACAGAAGTTTACACAGGCTGTCATTGAGAGAAATCCAATTAAATTGTTTGTGTTGAATTTTAATAAAACGAGTTGAGCCAGATTATCAAGAAGCAGTAAAATGACCTGTCAGTGCATCACAGACCAACATGTTATTTTACACCTTAAAATGAATTTTAAACATAAAAACACAAGATGATCCTAACAATATTGGGTTATGCAATACCCAAGACCTGCTTGGTTTTATATTTTGGCCTTTTGGAAAATGCTGTATTTAAAAAAGATTTTTTTTGTGTAAGATTCTGCTGGTGGCTGTTAAAAAGTCATCACCAGAAAATAGTGCCAATCTGAACGTCCTACATTAAAAGGAATGGACACAGACATAAATTCAATATTTGAGACTGAGATCTTAACACACAGACTAAGGACAGAGGAAGAACACCAGGACAAAATGGGGGGGGGGGGGTGGACAAACTTCACACCAACTACAGGATTAAACATGGATATAAAGGGTCACTTTGTGTTATGTCTAATGAAAAATCTTCCCCCAGTGTTCAGTTTCTTTAAGCTCCATTGTATTTTAGAACACATCAACGAGAAAAAAAATCTAATTAAAAACATGGTGCCTAATTACTGTTATTCTTCTTCAACACATTTATAACACATACGTAGGTAATTTCTACTGTGTAAGAGAAAACAAGTACAAAAATAAAACACACAAAAAATGTTTGATTCAGCACAATCACAGTCTGGATTTCATTTAATTTAGAAAGGCAATTAGACTAAATGAAAAATAGTTTTTTCACAGATTAACCATGATTTCCATTTATATGTAATGCTTCATTGAGGCACCCCCACATCATGGCTGATGGGGAAAAGCTAATCCTGATAATGAGAATCAGAGCATGCAGTCATGCAACTTGAAAAATGAAAACCTGCCATTTAAATTCCAAATATTTTGATTTTAACAGAAATGTCTCCATGGAATAAGTGACTCTACAGCTGGTGAAATCAATTTTAAATAAAAAAAGGTACCAGGGCAATAAATGCATGGTATATTTAACACTTACAAGGAGTGCTGTAAATATAAAAAAACATCCAGTCTGTTTTCTACAAAATCTGTGGCTCACTTACCAGCCTCTGAGCTTGTACGCCTCGGGGATATCTGGGTTGACCAACAGGGTGCTGTTGAAGGATGTAGAAAGCGACCGGCCTCCAAACTCTGAGACTTTTGCACCCTTAATGGCAACAATTGGCTGTGCAGAACCGTCAAAGTTTTCTGCCTACAGTTATCCCCAACAATAAAACAAAATGTCATTAAGCCTCCTGTGTTCAATCCATTTAACACTTTACAAAGTTAGATTTATGATCAACAACAAAGCACTTCATCACACTTATTACTAGGGGTGGGAATCTTTTACTCTCTCACGATTCGATTTGATTCTGATTTTTGGGGCCACGATTCGATTCAAAATCGATTTTTCATTCAAACCTGATAATGTGAGCCCCATTTGGCATGTTTCCAAAGTGCTTCATCTTCATTTTGCAAACCTTGCACAAAGTGAAGCTCATGTCAAACTCGGACTCATTCAGTAAAAACCAAAATGAGCCCAAATCTTAACATTCAATGAAGACAGGGGTCAGTTGAAGCTCTCTTTCCTCCAGTTTTGTAGTTTCCTCTTTGTTTTGGTGCTTTCTGCACATTTATGTTCCAGAAGCAGCTGCGTGATGACGTCAGGATGTCCCATGTAGTTACAAAATGGAGGCTGATGGCCATTGGATTTGCTTTATTTATTTTATTTTATTATTGTTATTATTTTTATTTTTTTCATTTATAAAAATCGATTTTGGGACATTTTAAATCGATTCTGAATCTTTGTAAATGAGAATTACGATTCTGATGTAAAACGATTCTTTGGTGCAGCCATACTTGTTACTGCTGACACACAGTTCACTTCAGAATGATTAGAATAGTTTTATTTTTATCAAGCAAACTTCATAATCTTTTAATATGACTTACTAGAATGACCTGCAGATGTTAGAGGAGAAATAAGAATGGTGGAAAAATGAGTGTGCATGTGTATACTCTATGTCCAAAGGTGAGGTGGGTAAATCCTTCTGATTTTCAAATGAAATATTTGAACAATTATGTCGCATTGCTGTTGTTCTTCATTACAATCATCTACACATCTTGTGCATTTTATCAAATCCTACAGGATATGAACTTCCTATCAAATATAAAACAGAACAAGGGGTTTTTGTCAAGAGGGAACAAACAATTATAGGCTCAGTGCAGATAAACAACTTGAGGAATTCACTTAGTTATTTAAATCAAGAAAATTAAAATTTGACTACTGTTAAACCAAAGAATGTGCACTCTATTAGGATTGCTGATCTAAGAATGAGAATGTACAGTATTCTAAGTATGGCACAGATTCAACAGCCTTAACAAGGGAAAAGGTCTAAACCCTCATTACTCACCTCCTCTCCCCACAGTGTGAGCATCACCATCTTCCCGGACATGTCCATCAGAGTTATTGTCCTCTTAGATACTTCGCGATTATTCTTCGTTGTGATGCGGGTCATCTCGTCCACACTCTTGCACACTCCGATCACATCTGTAATCCAGAACAAATCAGCGTTTCACAAATGAAACGAGACACTGTTTGTGTTTCTGTTAATAAACACCTGATTCTACGTTTGCAGTCTTGGTGAGTGCATCTAAAGTGGCTCATAAATTAATAATCTAAAAGAAATAAAAATAAAAAAATGTTGTACAGTTTGTCAAGCTCCCTAAACGCAAATTTGAACTCAGCTGGCACAAAACTAATAGAAGAGAATTAAGAGTCCCGTGTGATTAATCTTACTTTCCACTTGCATCATAAAAGCGGTTTTGCTTCAACAATCAGTAGTAAATACATCCATACTATGAAAGACACAATAAATGAGTTTAAACATTTTTTACAGTTCATCAAAGACACTTTGTTACAGTTACATGATGAGTGCTGATTCTGTTCCCAGGAGAGACAGAAATGGAATGTTATAAACCTTTGATGAAGATTTAGTTTTAACTTTTGTTTGTTTTTCTTCCCCTGGCATGTGAGACACACAATCTCAGACTGGTCTTGTTGACAAACGTGATCCAGCACAAGATGTGAAGCTATTGTTTGTAAAAGTGAAAGAGCAGCTTTATCACCATTAGTCATCTTTTAATTCTAACCCCTTTCAACCCTAACCCTGATCAGATTTATATCCAAATATTAAAATGTACGCTTATGGTAATATGTAGGAGGGAAATTACTCCAAGCACAATTCAAGATGCAATCTTTAATCAAAGAATTATATGAATAGTCTTTATTCAATCATTAATTCATGTATAAGCCTCTGTCGTAGCATGCAGTCTATTTGCACCACAGACCACTGCAGTAATCGGATTTAATAAGACAAATTTTATCTCCACCAGTATACAGCAATTACCTCAATCCTTCAGCGTTCTAGTCACCACCCTGCACAACAAATTGTACACATAATAGCTAATTATAGGAAGCTTAGAGAACACCTCTGCAGGATTTGGGCTGAGCATTAGCTGGTTTGTGTTTTTTACCACACACACACACACACACACACACACACACACACACACACACACACACACACACACACACACACACACACA